GCTGTGAGTCCACATTGCTGGGCCGTGTTGAGCTTCTCGTCAACAAGCACCCCTTGTCCTTCTCGGCAGGGCTGCTCTCACACCATTCTCTGCCCAGCCTGTATTTGTGCTTGGGATTGCCCCAACCCAGGTGCAGGAACTTGCACTTGGCCTTGCTGAACTTCATGAGGTTCACACAGGCCCACCTCTCAAGCCTGTCAAGGTCCCTCTGGATTGCATCCCTTCCCTCCAGTGTGTCAACCGCACCACACAGCTTGGTGTTTGTCAACAAACTTGCTCAGGGTGCACTCAATCCCACTGTCCATGTCTCCAAAGATGCAAAACAGCACCAGTCCCAACACTGACCCCTGAGGAATGCCACTCATCACTGGTCTCCACTTGGATATGAAGCCATTGACCCAACTGTTTGTGACAGCAACCATCCAGCCAATTCCTTATCCACAGAGTGGTCCATCCGTCACATCCATGTCTCTCCAATATAGAGACAAGGATGTCATGTGGGACAGTATCAAATGCTTTGTTCAAGTTCAGGTAGATGACATCCATTGCTCTTCCCTTATCCACCAATGCAATAACCCTGCCATAGAAGGCCACCAAATATGTCAGGGATGATTTTCCTTTAGTGAAGCCATGTTGGCTGTCACCAGCCACCTCCTTATTATCCACATGCCTTAGCATAGTTTCCAGGAGGATCTGCTCCATGATCTTGCCCGGCACAGAGGTGAGACTGACTGGGCTGTAGTTCCCTGGGTCTTCTTTTTTCCTCCCTTTTTAAAAATGGGGGTTATGTTCCCCCTTTTCCAGTCAGTGAGAACTTTACTGGACTACCACGATTTCTCAAGTATGATGGATAGTGGCTTAGCAACTTCATCCGTCAGTTCCCTCAGGACCGATGGACTTGTGCATCTTCAGGTTCCTTAGATGGTCTCAAACCTCATATTCTACAGAGGTTCAGAGGCTTCATATTGAAAAGATACAGCCTCTTCAGCCAGGAGCAACATCTGGCACCTCATGTCATCCAGCTCCATCCAGGACAACGCGATAACATCGAACTTCATAGACAGATGTCTATCTACACCCATACGAATATCCCAACAGTTTTACCAGCTCTGAAACATCCTGAAAAAAACCTGCACTATTTCAGAGTGAGATTTAAATTACATGTTCAACAGTTGTTCAATGATAAATTGCAACTTAAGGTCAGCAATTACCATCTGTAGCCACTTAACAGATTACTTTCATCAACAATTTGATTTTACTAAGTCCTTGGTAAGAACAGACTATTGAGCTAAAATATGGTTTTCAAGGAAAGTGTCAGACACTAGCTGGTAGTGCAGAGATTGAGTACCTTCAAAAATAAGTAGCAGATATCCAGCCAAACTACACTGAAGTCCAAGCTAGAGCTCAAACCAGATACCATTCAATTTATAAAGGTCCTCCTTTGATTTGCCTTGATGACTTGATGATCTATGTATTTTTCTACAGCAAACCTCAATACATCTACCGCATTTTATACCACTAAAAGACTGCTAACCACAAACTGCCTTTACGATGTGATAGTTTAGACAGATGCAATTATCTAGTACCCTAAAATTATTTCCTTCATATGGAAGGAACAGTAGCTATACTGATGAAAAAGGGACTTTAAACCATCATGTACACAAACATACACCTGGATACTTGCATAACTTCTCTTGTCACAAAGTGACCGACTATAGTGAGTGGCAAGTAATAACCAGTAACTGATCTTACAGGTTAGTTTGCAAATCAGAGATTATTCTTGCAGTTTACTGCTCAAGTAAATGTTTATTTTTTTAAGATGGTTTAAAAAATGCAATTTGATTAAATATAACCATGTTAAGACTGTGTAGAAGCTCACCTTCACTGGAAGTTAATGGTGCCCAAACATTTCACTTGAGCAGCCCCGTAGCTCCTCCCAGTGGCCATAGCCCTGTCCTAGATCTCTGAGATTACTGAGCTACAAATACCATCATAGTGCAGGTACCTGAACTTACAACAGTTTCTGAACTTACAACTGCATTAGACACCATGAACTTAGAAGATTTCTATATGAAACAGCATGCTGTTGTCCATGTTTCAAAACTGCTTTAGAACTATTGCTCATGGTTTGGATACGTGTTTGCAACTTCGTGCAAAGCCACAATTCATATTCACTGCACCTAACAGATCGATGCCCCATCTTTTCATTTCGGTCATCACAGTTCTTTACTCTGCTTTGATACAGACCAACAATACAAGCTACTCTCCGGAGAACTAGGTAGCTTAGTGAGCATTCATCCACCGATCATACTCCACCCACCTCAGAGAAGTCACAGATGTCCTCTCAGACCAGCCCCCACGACAGAGCCAAAAGAGAAGGAAAATAGAGCAGCTACCTACTGCCACCTCCTGCTGTTGTTACATAAACCCACCCCACACGTTCTCTGAAAGCTCTCACGCAAAGAAATCTCTTGCTGAAAAACACGCTTTAAAAAGAATGTTGTGTTGGAACTAAGTTAGCTTCCCAGTATACGCATCTTTCAAACATCAAACACCTAGTTCTGTGAACAAGAATCTCATTTAAAAACCCATGACAGTATACAGTATCAACTATATTTGTGAAGTAAAGGAGAGTAGAGGAACATCAGCTTCACAACTCTATTAGAGCCATAACTTTAACTCCAGTTTAATATCAAAGCACATACTGCTAACTCAAATGCAGTAATAATTTCACACAAAACCAGGCAGTTAAAAATTCACTCTAGTAAAAATTTCTTCCATGCTCACAATAAAAACTGATGCTTAATAACACCATTGCCTTCAGAACCTTCTGGTAAGTTTTGCAACCGTCTTAACAGGGTAAACTCGTGCCTTGCTCAGAGAAAGAAAAATGCTGTTCAAGTGTTTGAACTATCACTGACAGGCAGGTAAGGCAATAAAAGTCAAATTTCCTTTCAAACTTCCAGAACATATCACAAGAACAAAAGAAATATAAATACAAAGCTATTAGCTTCATTTCTTAACTAGGTGGTTTAATTTATACTAAGCTAGTGTATTCATTCAGAGGACATCTTAAAATAATTCTTAACCTCAAGTCAAGACATCTGCCCTTAAACAGAATATTTTAGCAATTTAAGTCTGTATACTTACTATCACGGTAAAAGTAGTTATTTCTTTTCATTAGGAAAAATGCTTTCCTCAATACTCTTCCACCCTTCCCTTTTTAAGCTAGTTAAGTTTTCAAGTTTCATGCAACGCTTTTAAAATAAAACTAGATAACTTAATGAATTGCCACCATAGTGGTTTCACTCGTACTTCATTCTGAAAAGAAATTCACTGAAGGCATAACCAAAGCAATCATGCACTGTTCTGTTGAGAAGATAAAGCTAAAATTATAGTCTCTGAAAGCCTGATCCACTTTCAACCTGTCCTCAAAATAACAAGAAAAAAAAAAATCATAACACACATAATTTATGGCTCTCACAGCTTGTTTAACCCAGAGAAGACAAAACTAAAATCAGAGTTCAGTCTTGCAATGTCTTTCAAAATTCCACGTACCCATTCATACCAACTTCTACTGCATTTTATACCTAACGGCTCAAGTAAAACCTCTTCACACATCTCCTTTCTCAACAGCCTCTCATTTCTCAGACTCAGCTACTTCAATTATGCAAAGAGCTGTAGTTATCCCTTGGCTCGAGATCCTTCTTTCTGTCAACTGCCAGATTGTCAAAGCTCCTAAATGGCAGTCTTCCCAACAGTTTTCCACCCATTTGTCTACTTCAAGACTCATTTCTCCCCTCCTAAAACCCAGCAATACTTTAACTCAAGTTTTTGCTGAAAAAAGTAGCAACACAATCTAAAGTAAATATTGTAATTGCTTGATAACTTACTTAAACCTGCTTTAAACAAGACATTTTACCTTTGGAATGCTCACTTGGCAAGTCAAATATCAATTGCAACTGAAAACATGTAGAACTTCACACTATATAAAATCAGCTGAACTTTTCAGAGCTGCTAGTTGCAGGTATCCCCAGAATATGGGGTGTTATGGGCTCTTGGCAGCATTAAACACTTGGAGCTTACCCATAGCACAAGATGTCTTTGAAAACCAATACCAACTGAATCACAATCACTGCATCAAAAAAGTTTTGGATAAAGGATGGAATGAATTCCTCATACATGAGTACTATTAACAATCTAATGTAAGCCCTAGCACATTACCTCCTTATTCCTCAAAAGCCACTTTTTTTCAATGGGAATAAAAACAAACATTGCAATACCTTTGACCAGTTGATTCTCTTCATTGTGACTTCCAGCTTATACTTTTTCTTCTCCTTCATCCCATGTGGTAATGCTGGTGTCACCAGAAAGGGAGCAAAAGGAACACCTCCAAGAGGTGGTGGCATTGGAGGCCCACCAAAAGGTGGAGGAGGAGGTACTGCCCCACCAGGCAGTGGAGGCGGTGGAGGAGGTGCTGCCCCTCCAGGCAGCGGAGGCGGTGGTGGTATTGCTCCACCAGGTAGTGGAGGCGGTGGCGGAGGTACTACCCCACAAGGTGGAGGAGGAGGTACTGCCCCACCAGGCAGTGGAGGCGGTGGAGGAGGTGCTGCCCCTCCAGGCAGCGGAGGCGGTGGTGGTATTGCTCCACCAGGTAGTGGAGGCGGTGGCGGAGGTACTACCCCACCAGGTAGGGGAGGCGGTGGCGGCGGTACTACCCCACCGGGTAGGGGAGGCGGTG